GAGAGAAGAGAGGAGAGGGGAGAGAGAGAGGAGAGGGGAAAGAGAGAGAGAGATAGAGAGAGAAAGGAGAAGAGAGGGGAGAGAGAGAGAAAAGAGAGAGGAGAGAAGAGAGGAGAGAGGGAGAGAGAAAGGAGGAGAGAGAAAGGAGAAGAGAGAAGAGAGGGGAGAGAGAGAGAAAAGAGAGAGGAGAGAGGAAAGATAGAGAGGAGGGGGAGAGAGAGGAGAGAAGAGAGGGCAGAGAGAGAGGAGAGAAGAGAGGGCAGAGAGAGAGGAGAGAGAGAAGAGAGGAGAGAGAGGAGAGAGAGAGGGGAGAGAGAGAGAGGAGGGGAGAGAGGAGAGGGGAGAGAGAGATGAGAGAGAGAGAGGAGAGAAAGGAGAAGGGAGAAGAGAGGGGAGAGAGAGAGAGGAAAGAGAGAGCAGAGAAGAGAGAGAAAGGAGAGAGGAAAGAGAAAGGAGAGAGAGAGAGAGGAGAGGCGAGAGAGAGAAGAGAGGAGAGAAGAGAGGGGAGAGAAAGGAGAGAGAAGAGAGGGGAGAGAAAGGAGAGAGGAAAGAGAAAGCAGAGAGAGAGGAGAGGGGAGAGAGAGAGAAAGGAGAGAGGAAAGAGAGAGGAAAGAGAGGGGAGAGAAAGGAGAGAGGAAAGAGAAAGCAGAGAGAGAGGAGAGAAGAGAGGAGAGGGGAGAGAGAGAGAAAGGAGAGAGGAAAGAGAGAGGAAAGAGAGAGGAGAGAAGAGAGGAGAGAAGAGAGGGAAAAGGCAAGTTGAGAGGAAATAGGGAGAGAGAGAAGAAGAAGGATAGGGAGAGAGAGAGGAAGAAGGATAGGGAGAGGGGGATGAGAGAGAGGGGAGAAAGTGCCAAGAAAGAGAGGGAAGGGGCGCAGTCTTCTGGGACATGTAGTCCCTGAGTCACGGCTGCTTCCTGCTCATACCACAGGGAGGGAGAGAAGGGGACTTGGGTGGCTATGTGGACACTACATTATATTCTTTAAAAAAAGGTATTTTACACTGTCCAGGGGTGGGGGAGGGGACTGGGGAAAATTATGACTTTCATGTCCGGAGTTCTGCTTTAATAAACCTCATACATAATATGGGTGGAAGTACAACAAATAATAAGAGGATTGCCCCCTGTTGCCGGCTTCTCTTCAGAAAATGTGTATAAAGTCCTTTTGAATAATATAAAGTGGTATTCCCGGGCTGGATGACATTTGGTTTCCTATAGCCCTGTGCATCATATACAACTGCCCATTAGTTTTATCTAAAATACTAGTTTAAGTTGTATCTCAGTCCTGCTGATCTCCTGCAGCCTCTTCACAGCCATTTTCTGTCTACATGCACTCCAGTAATGGCTGCATGGCATTTCTCAGGACAGGGTTCCTGACGGTGAGAAGCTAATATACACTATATGGCTAAATGTTTGTGGCCACCTGACCATCACAACTGCATGAGCTTGTTGGACACCCCATTCCAAGACCATGGCCATTAATATGGAGTTGCCCCATTTGCGGCTATAACATCCTCCTCTCTTCTGGGAAGATTTTGGAGTGTGTCTGTGGGAATTTGAGCCCATTTGTGAGGTCAGGTACTGATGTTGGATGAGAAGATCTGGCTCACCATCAGGGTTCCAATTCATCCCAAAGGTGTTCAGTAGGGTTGAGGTCAGGGCTCTGTGCAGGACTCTCGAGTTCCTCCACACCAAGCTGGTCACACCATGTCTTTATGGAGCTGGCTTTGTACACAGGGGACAGTCATGGTGGAACAGAAAAGGGCCTTCACCAAACTGTGATCACAAGGCTGGAAGAGCACAACTGTCTACAATGTCTTTGTATGATGGAGTATTAACAGGATCCTTCACTGGAGACACCTGAACCCAATCATATGAAGGGAGGGGTTCCAGTTCTTCCCAAAGGTGTTCAGTAGGGTTGAGGACAGGGCTCTGTGTAGGACACTCGAGTTCCTCCACACCAAACTGGTCACACCATGTCTTTATGGAGCTGGCTTTGTACACAGGGGACAGTCATGGTGGAACAGAAGGGAGTCTTCACCATGCTGATTGGAAAAGCTCAATTGTCTACAATGTCTTTGTATGATGGAGTATTAAGATGACCTTCACTGGAGACACCTGAACTCCATCATTTGGAGGGGGGGTCCAATTCATCCCAAAGGTTGAGGTCAGGGCTCTGTGAAGGACACATCTACAACCTGCTGCCCATATACTGTATATATATGGGCACTGGTGATATTTGTCCAGACCGGCCTTCTCCTTAGAGAGACATGAAAGGTGGCTGTGTGACGTACTCTTTCCGTTCCAGTCTAAGAATAAAATCTGAATTATGAGAGTGAAACGAGAAGAAGAAATGTTCCCACAGCACGCTGTGTGTATCCGTGATCTTCCTCAGATTAGCACACTAACATCCTCTTTAACCTTTTTAATATTAGGAAGTCCAAAAGGCATAAACATGACACAACCCCCTCCTGTGATATTCAAGGTACAGTCCACCTTTCAAAAACAATAATCATTGGACGTAAAATGTGCATTCATTAAAGAATCGGTGCGCTTTTAGACAAAGTTCACCTTTTCTTTTTTTTTTCCCCCTCCCCTGATTTAAATGATCTCGTCCTCTGCAGATCTGTACTTACTGAGATCAGAGGGCCACTGCTCTGCCATTTGTTGACATATAGTGGTGCAAGTCTCCCTCTCCTGGCCTCATCCATCTCCTGGTTGGGAAACGGCCCCATAGATGTCTTTGGGTTTGTAATGTGCATGTGCGGCCAGCAGAGGGAGCATTGCAGTGCTTAAAGGAGAACTATGGGGTCAGTGTTTTTCCCCATAATTCTCCTAACGGTCACGGGAGGACACAAACTAGTGGGGGGGGGGGGGGGAATCCCTGCAGGGAGGACAAAAAACTAGCGTCCTCCTGTGACCCAAAGCTCAGTATATTGCAAGCTGAAGCTCGCGGTATACATTACTGTCGAGATCTTCCCAGCTGCGTGATTGACAGCTTGCACTACCTTTCTAGAGTCAGCTGTACCTGCCCCCTCCCCCGTCCGTTCTGCCAGTCAGCGCTGGAGGATCGGATCGGGGAGGGGAAGAATCCCTGCAGGGAGCCTTGACTGTCAGTCACGGCTCTCTGCAGGGAGATGATCGAGAAGTGAGCAAGCGACGGTATGTGTTCGCTCACTTCCCGATCTATTCAGCCGACCTGTGACAGTCTCATTGTCACACGTCGGCTCGAACTATGAGATGGGGGGAAAATATCTCGCCTCATAGTTCTCCTTTAATGTAAAAAGCAGCAGAAACATGCCTGTTGGATCCTGTTAAGTACAGATCTGTGGAGGGCCAGGATGGGATTGTTTAGGTCAGGGCAAGAAGGCGAAAAGGATAAGCGCACATTGTTTTAAAGATTACTTTTGTGAGGTCAGGTACTGATGTTGGAGGAGAAGGTCGGGCTCGCAGTCTCCGCTCTAATTCATCCCAAAGTTCCTCCACCCCAAACTCCCAAACATCCATGTCTTTATGGAGCTTGCTTTGTACACTGGTGCGCAATCATGTTGGAACAGGAAGAGGCCATCCCCCAAACAGTTCCCACAAACAGTCCAAAATGTCTTGGTATGTTGAGTTGCTGTTGTTCCCAGTTGCTTCCACTTTGTTATAATCCCAGTAACAGGTGACCGCGGAATATTTAGTAGCAAGGAATTTCACGGAACACCCGAATCCAATGATTTGAAGGGGCGTCCAAATACTTTTGGCAATATAGTGCATAACCAGATTGTAACCAAAGGGACAGTTTGTACTCAGTATCGCTCTCCGGCATAACACATATTACACATCAGAATCAGATACTGGATTACCATATCCTCATACGGCTGGCTAATTACCCGAAAGACCACCAAATTGTCTTATAAGGGCCAAAGAAATGAAGACTCTCCTTGCTCCCACTGGATTAAAACACACACACACACATCATTTACCTACTAAATAGAGTTTTTAAAGGTGTAAAAGTTAACGGTCATCGCTAATATTTCACCCCAAAAACAAGAACTCAATAAAAGCGAATCTGTCCACCAAAGGAAATTGGGGATTTTACATTACATGGGCGCCATCTGGTGTCCATTTAGTATCATTACACTTCTCAGCTCAGCACCCATTGTATATATAATGCCATTTATACCGGATATAATGTTACAATGTGTCTTTTGATACCGTATATACATGACTGCTTTAGGTGTTCTTGACATCATAATTCACAGCAGTTTTTTAACTCCTTAAGTCAGACACCTTTTATAACGTATACAGTATATGTTGGTGCCATTTGTAACTTTTAGAAGATGGCGCCGGGTACTGGCATGGGGTAGAGATCACATAGTTTAGTCAGGTTGGAAACAAGACGCAAGACAATAGAATACATTGAAAACCTCCCTAAAAACACAGCGCCCTGCCTCAGTTCTTTATCAAGAGCCCTCAGCCCTGATGCAAACCGTGGGCGGGCCCTTGGGAGGAGCTATGCAAATATCAAAATGCCTTGATGGGTGGGTGTCAGTCTGGAGGAGTGGGTGTTCCTAGGCTGGCTGCATTTGCAGTGCAGATCACTTTAAGTAAAGCCTTCATGATTGAAAGAACTGGTATCCAATGAATGAAAGGGGCGGGGATAGTCAGGCTGGGAAGCACAGCGCTAGATGATGCTGGACGTCCTCCAGCCAGAAAAAGCGTAGGTTAAGATGCTACATTTAATATTAAAACATACATCTGATGCTACAGTAGGTCCGATTTAAGAACTAAAGGTAACATAGTAAAACATTGACGGTTGACAAACGATACATTTAACATGTTACAATAAATCCTGACAAGATACAGATGAGGTGTCATTGGACAGATCACTGAGGGGGTATTCAGTTTGAGTCCAGGTCTTGTATCTCATTGAAGTATCACTTCTGATCTGATGAAGCTTCCATGTGGCCGGTGAGATAATCAGAGTGTCAGTTCATAGATTGAGCGTGTCTCTGACCACGGCGGCTCGTATTGTAAAATATAACGAGTGTTGGGTCATATCATTGCTGGCTCTGCTGGCCCATAGTCTCCCCTCTGGCATCAGCCACATCTCTCGGCACGCGCACCGTCAGACCCTCGATGGCTTTTCTCATACAGATCTGGCAGCCAAGACGAGACCTGGAAAATTACAGCACACAACTTATTATGGGGGCTCTTCATCACTGACCACCAATGTAAGGGGGGTACGTCTCCATCAGCCACCAATGTAAGGGGGGCTCTTCATCACTGACCACCAATGTAAGGGGTGTACGTCTCCATCAGCCACCAATGTAAGGGGGGCTCTTCATCACTGACCACCAATGTAAGGGGGGTACGTCTCCATCAGCCACCAATGTAAGAGGGGCTCTTCATCACTGACCACCAATATAAGGGGGGTACGTCTCCATCGGCCACCAATGTAAGGTAGCTCTTCATCACAGACCACCAATGTAAGGGGGGTACGTCTCCATCGGCCACCAATGTAAGGGAGCACTTCTCCACTGACCACCAATGTAAGGGGGGCTCCTCTTCACTGACCACCAATGTAAGGGGGGCTCCTCTTCACTGCCCACCAATGTTAGGGGGCACGTCTCCACTAATCACCAATGTTAGGGGGCACGTCTCCACTAATCACCAATGTAAGAGGGGCTCTTCACTGACCCCCAATCTTAATTCTCTATTGACCACCAATGTTAGGGGACACTTTCCCCACTGACCACAATTGTAAGTGAACACATCTCCACTGACCACCAATGTAAAGGGGGCTCTTCTCCACTGGCCACCAACGTAAAGGGGGCTCTTCTCTAATGACCACCAATGTAAGTGAACACATCTCCATTGACCACCAATGCAAAGGGCTCCTCTCTACTGATCACAAATGTAAGGGGGGCTCTTCACTTACCACCAATGTTAGGGGGTAATTCTCCACTGACCACGAATGTAAGGGGGCTCTTCTCCACTGACCACCAATGTTAAGGGGGCTCTTCATCATTGACCACCACTGTTAGAGGTACTTCTCCACTAATCACCAATGTAAGAGGGCTCTTTTCTACTGACCACCAATGTAAGGGGGGCTCCTCTCCACTGACCACCAATGTAAAGGGGGCTCTTCATCAGTGACCACCAATGTAAAGGTGGGCACTTCATCATTGACCACCGATGTTAGAGGGTACTTCACTAGTCAACAATGTAGGGGAGCTCTTCTCCACTAACCACCAATGTAAGCGTGCCTTCCTCCACTGACCACCAATGGAAGAGGACAAATCTTCACTGACCACCAATGTAATGGGGCCCTTCTCCCACCGGACAACATGTCATCTGGCACTTTTTTGACCACCATTGTAAAGTGACACCACAAAATTCACTGTCCACATTTATTTTCCAGCCATTGGTATTATTTGCTTATAACTGAAAATAATTTTGTCACATAGAGTTGGGGGATGTTAAAACGTGACCTACGCCTGTGGAAAATGATCTAGGTACACCCCCGCTCAGTGGATCTCCTTTATAGTGGAGACAGTCTTCACCTGATGCTCTAAAAAGGAAAATAGTGGAAATAATGGAAATAATTACCTGTCTGTCAGTCCAAAAGCCAAATCCAGCATGTCCAGCTCCTCATCCGATATGGCGCCCAACATGTCAAAGTGCTTCTGGTCAAATATCAGGTGACAAGTAGAACAGGCGAGAGTCCCCTCGCAGGCACCTTACAGAACAGAGGGGGGAGCATCAAGATTTAATACAAAGGCAATTAAATACAATAAAGTGAAAACATCTTATGTTATAGATGAGCGACCTGTGACTCCAGAATTTTAGTGAGCCTTCAGGTGGCACCATGTCCTGAAGGCCAGGGATGAACTGATACCATTTTTTCAAGACCGATTACCAGTACCGATACTTTTCCTCGAGTACTTGCCGATACCAATTTCCGATGTTTTTTTTTTTTTTGTGTCATGTGACAGTTTTTCTAAAACAATAAAGACTATTGGTTTTAGGACAGCGGTGGAGCGCCAGAGCCCGATCGCAGCTGCAACTGCTATGCCCCCTGTTAGTTCTGCCACTGACTCCAAGCTGTAGAGTGACTACAAATCTCAGCAATACATTATACAGCAATGCAGAATAATAGCATATGAATTTTCTACATACTCTGTGCTGCTGCTCTGCTCAGGGGTGCCAGCCTGATGTCTCGGGTAGAGGGTCTAGGGAGGGGGAGTTGATGCGCAGAGGGTCTCAGAAGGGGGAGATGTGAATGTCTCAGGAGGGGAAGATGTGCAGAGGGTCTCAGGAGGGGGAAATGTGCAGAGGGTCTCAGGAGGGGAGATATGTGGAGGGTCTCAGAAGGGAGATATGTGTGGAGGGTCTCAGGAGGGGGAGATGTGCGGAGGGTCTCAGGAGGGGAAGATGTGCAGAGGGTCTCAGGAGGGGGAAATGTGCAGAGGGTCTCAGGAGGGGAGATGTGTAGAGGGTCTCAGAAGGGGGAGGTGTGCTGGTGGCAAAAGTGCTGTAAGCAGGTGCCACGTAATTTTTTAAAAGGCTGCCGGGATCACCATCATCACCTCCCGAGGATACATGCCATCAGAGCCCCATGGCAGGATCTCTCCTCTGATCTGGGCTCAGTCTATCCTGCTGTGCTGCAGCCTGGCACAGAATGAGTTACTTTCACCTACTTATCAAGACTTTTCCGAGCTCACCGATCTAAAGTTCCCTATTACCTCTCTGGTTCATGGGCTGGAGTCTAACTTTCTTGCTATCTGACATTTTAACATTGATGGACGATCCTGTTGGATGAGCAGGCTCCCTCACGTCCTCCACTGCGAGGCCAGATGAAGTGTTTATAGAAATTTGCAGATCGGTGTAGCAGATGATGCCCAGTGTGGTGCAGCACGGGGAGCATCAGGTACAACATCGCCCATCACGGTGAAACCCTCCGTATTCCTATGAGTAGGGGAGGAATTCTAGCCCTGCTCCTTACTCCATTACCATAAAGCACCGGTATCGGCTTTTGGTATCGGGGCATTGGGACAAGTGAAAATGCCCAGTATCGGAACCAATACAGACACTGGTAACAGTATCCATGCATCCCTACTAAAGGCCCTTTGCTGCAGGCCAACTTTCTGTTCAACCACAGTTGTGGGGCCACAAGTTGCCCGATGAATTTTTATCAATTCATTTCATTATTTGATATAACAGTTAAACAAACCACTCACGGTCCAATCCTTCCTTGTTTGGCCTCTTGAATAGGGATGAACAAAATTGGGAGCTTTTTCTTCTCCAAAATACCAGCAAATACTTGGATACTTTGGCAAACTTTACCACTTTGGCAAAATAAATTGGAGGCAAAGACTAAATGAACGTGGATTTGGTGGTTTCTAAGGGTTTAGTGGACTTCAAAAGGACCTTAAAGGTTAGGCGTATTCTAACAATCAGGGTCAAGCCAAGGGGTAAGAAGAAGAGGAGCCTGTCTTTAGTACTTCAGCTGGAAGGCGGCGGTGCACAAAGGGTCGGACTTGCAACCTATGCTGCTGAAGTAGATCACATCGTATTGGGGAGGGGGGGCACACTTTGGCCTTTTCACTTTATATGCTAACGGACTTTGTCCCAGTACTGGTACTGGTGCCTGTTTGTTGCTAATGTATTACCACAATTGACCTTTTGTTGCCCACATATTGTAATGACTACCCATTTGTTGCACCCTGTATTGTCTTGATTACTCATTTTTTGCCCCTTGCAGTCTTAGGATCTACTTTTTTTCCTTCCATATTGCCAAGTCAGTGCTGTTTCTTTGAAGGGCCATCTTTAACAAACAAACCACTCTGCTGTTATCCATCAATGTTGTCATGATTACCTCCACCCCTTGGCTGCACCCCCTACCTCTGGCTCACTGATCGATTGCCAGGGATGGTCTGTGGTGCCACACCTGCACAGTTCATGCCCATTGACTTCTATATTATCTACCTCTGTCTCCCGGATGGGGGATGAGCTCCATAGATGTCAATGGGGATATAGTCAGCAGGCATGGACAGCAGAAGGAGACGTCCACTGCTGGATATAAACAGTCAATGGAGGCCGGCCTCTTTGGAACTCAAGTATTCACCTGTGCATGGGGAGGTAGAGGTGAGGTCACCTTAAAGGGGCCTAAAGGATAAGTGCACTTAGTTTTAAAGTGCACTTATCCTTTAAGAAACCCTCCCACATTGTTTTGCAAATTTTGGATTTCCCATCACTGGTCATTCCAATAACAAAGGTCAACAGGACAAATAGAGGGTGAATCTACCCCGCTTTATAGCGTGCAATAAAAACCTGACAAAGGTTCTACCCCTTCCATACTCCAAAGATGTGCCTATAAGAATATTTTAATGTCTCACCAAATCCATCAATGTTCAAATGGTGACGGATAACCACCTCCAATAGGCTCTCCCCTTCCTTGGCTGTGGCTGTCAGAGTTTCTCCATTGCGATTGATGAAATTCACTGTTAAATGGTCATCGGTGGATCTACAAGTCAAAGAAAGAAACTGCAGATTGGCCTTTCACTGAGAACAATTTGTGAGGTCAGGCTCAGAAATTGAAGTTGTAATTCATCCCAAAGGTGTTCAATAAGGTTGAGGTTCCTCGAGTTCCTCTACACCAAACTGGTCACACCATGTCTTTATGGAGCTGGCTTTGTACACAGGGGACAGTCATAATGGAACAGAAAAGGGTCTTCACCAAACTGTTACTACAAGGTTGGAGCAGCACAATTGTCTACAATGTCTTTGTATGATGAAGTATTAACAGGATCTTTACTGGAGACACCTAAACTATTTTATTTCAAGGGCTGCCCCCATACTTTTAGCCACATGGGTAGGTGTGGTGGTCAGGTGTCCTCATACCTCATATTAGTGTAGAGAACTGGATTACAAGACATGGGTAAAGAATGGTGAGAAAGGAATGGTGGGTAACGAACGGTGGGCAAGGAATGGTGGATAAAGAAGGATGGGCAAGGAAAGCTACGTAAAGAATGTATGGAAAGGCATGGTGGGTAAAGAATGATGTGCAAAGAATGGTGGATAAAGAATGGTAGGCAAGGAATGATAGGTAAAGAATGCTGGGTAAAGAATAGTGGGCAATGAATGGAGGGTAAAGATTGGTGGGAAAGGAATGGTAGGTAAAGAATGGCGGGTAAGGAATGGCTGGTAAAGAATGTTGGGCAAGGAATGGTGGGTAAAGAATGGTGGGCAAGGAATGGAGGGTAAAGATTGGTGGGAAAGGAATGGTAGGTAAAGAATGGCGGGTAAGGAATGGTAGATAAGGAATGGTGGGCAAGGAATGGTGGGTAAAGAATGGTGGGCAAGGAATGGTAGGTAAAGAATGGTGGGCAAGGAATGGTAGGTAAAGAATGGTGGGCAAGGAATGGTGGGTAAAGAATGGTGGGCAAGGAATGGTAGGTAAAGAATGGTGGGCAAGGAATGGATGGGAGGAATAATCCCTATGACCTGTTGCTCCTTTGTCAAGTTTATAAAAGCAGTAACCCACCAGCATTTTAATCACAGGGGTGACTGAAGGTGAAATTACTTGTACATGGTGGCCTGATGTGAACTGGTAGAGGGTAGAGGGTCCGGTCCCTTTACCAGTAGATTGGTTGACCCCATGATGACTGGCAAAGTGTAGATCATAACCAGTACATTACAGGATTGTAGAATGCACACATTCTACTATAGAAGAGTGACTCCTGTGTTGTTCATATGAAGAGTGACTCCTGTGTCGGAGTGAGCCTTTATGTTGCTATAGATGTATATTGATCCTCTTAGGAGGATGATTGACACTTGACACGAGTAGATATGAGAACGTATACAATAAAAGACACAAACTTATCATTCAATATCTAGAGAAGAAGATACAATGTATCCTTGTAACACACAAGTTCTCTCACGTTGTATGTGAGTTTTAGAAGGCTGGTGGTCAATGATCTGTTTCTGCTGCGCAGACCTTGAACGTCATCCAAAAAATGTTCCAGCGCTGACCTCGGCGTGTTATCGTAACGCTGGATTCTTCTCATCTTTAGAAGACTGGTTGATAAAACTTCTGAGAGTTCTTTTGCTCCTCCTATCTGCTCTGCATTGCACGGCAGGGTACCGGGCAGGTAGGGGGTGGGGCGTGGCTGGTAGGGGTGTAGGGGCCCAAGAAAATATTTGCCTGGGGTCCAATCAATATTAAAGACAGCCCTGCATAGAGTAGATAAGGGTTAAAAACCCCGTAAGGTTTTTTTAAACTTGGGGTCAGGTGGAGAGATTTCCCTTCACTTCCTGTCCCAGACACACAACAGGAAGAGGAGGAAATCTCTACAAAGTAAGGGGGAAATCTTTTATTACACAGGTGTCCCCATTGGAAGGCAGATCATGGCTGGTGCAAGGTGCCCTCAGCTCTAATGCAAGTAGTGGGATGGCTCTTGGGAGGGGTTATGCAAATATCAAAATGCCTCGCTAGGTGGATGTCAGTCTGGAGGAGTGGGTGTTGCTAGACAGGCTGCATTTGAATGCAGACCACCATCAGGAACCCCCCTGAAGAAATGCCATGCAGCCTTTGCTGGAGTGCAAGTAGACAGGAAGTGGCTGCAAAAAGGCTGCAGGAGATTAGCAACGGCCCATTAGGAAATCTACAATGCATTGCATGCTACAGCTCAGGTAATACAATCAGCAAGGATTTTGCTGCTGCCATGGAGGCGGCTCTACATATACTACGGTAGGAGATTGTAGCTCTAAGGCTTCGCCCGGCCACGATACATAAATATCTGATCCATGTAGATCCTTCTTCTACAAAAAATCTAAATCTGAGCCAAAGGAGAATCAGGTTCATTTTATCAGAGTTTTATTATTCAGCGCAGTTAATGTTTAAGCTCTGTGTGATCAATGGCAGGGATGAAGCATGGCCTTGACCCCGTTTTATCATCTTTGAACAGTGTTAACCCTTTCATATGTAGATACAATATAAAAATAAAGACAAAAAATATATATTAAAGATACAGAACCGAATGCTAAAAGAGGAATTTAAAAGGTATCTTATTCTTAACCTAAAAGCAAGAATGGATCATTATGCAGCTTAGCTTACCAATCCTTGAATGTGGTGGTCGCATTCGTTTTCTTTTTTTAGGCTTTCCAGAATGCGTTGGACACTTTAACTACTTTCTGTGACCAGTAAACTCTTGGTGAACTTAGTCAGGTCATGTGACACCCCCCTCTTTTATATGCTGCTTCTTTGGGGACCTTCTGGGAGACCCTGATTGACAGAGATCTTCCTCAAAATTTCTGAATTTCTCCAATAATTCACTCCGTAGGATCCAACGCTGACTTGCAACAACCATTCACTTACCTGTGGGATCCAACAATGAATTCCTCCAACCATTAATTTTCCCATGGGTTCCAACGCTGGATTCCTCCAACCATTCACTTACCTGTGGGATCCAACAATTGATTCCTCCAACCATTCACTTACCTGTGGGATCCAACAATGAATTCCTCTAAGCATTCACTTTCCCATGGGATCCAATGCTGAATACCTCCAACCATTCACTCCATGGGATCCAACGCTGACTTCCACCAACCATTCACTTACCGGTGGGATCCAACAATTGATTCCTCCAACCATTCACTTACCTGTGGGATCCAACCATGAATTCCTCTAAGCATTCACTTTCCCATGGTGGGATCCAATGCTGAATACCTCCAACCATTCACTCCATGGGATCCAACGGAGACTTCCACCAACCATTCACTCCATGGGATCCAACGATGACTTCCACCAACCATTCACTCCATGGGATCCAACACTGACTTCCTCCAACCTTTAACTCCATGGGATCCTATGCTGACTTCCACCAACCATTCACTACATGGGATCCAACGCTGACTTCCACCAGCCATTCACTCCATGGGATCCAACGCTGACTTCATCCAACCATTTACTTACCCATGGGATCCAACATTGAATCTCTCAAACAATTCACTCCATGGTATCCAACCCTGAATTCCTCCAATCATTTACTCCGTGAGATCCAATGCTGAAGTCCTCCACCCATTCACTCTGTGGGATGTAGCGCTCCACAAACACATTCTTGGTTGTCTGGCAGACTGAAGTCCTATTGGACCTCACTTTGCCCATCACCATTGTGCTTTGTTACTGAATAATGTACGGCCAATATTATAGTGTTTTGTTTTGTTTTTTTTTGCTAGCAACAAGATTGGTTCAGGCAAAAATTTGACAGCAAATGGGACACAATTTGACAAAATGCTGGAATGCTACTTGTCCTTTGTGCTGAGGTTTCTGCGAGCTTCTGAAACTATCACATTTGGCATTGGCACAGCAATTAGCGCAGCCTTGCTCAACCTTTTTACCCCAGAGGAACCCCTAAAATAATTTTTGGGTCACAGGGAACTCTTACTCAAACCAAGTTATTTGGTGAAAATGCCGCTTACATTGGTGGTCAGTTGGAAGAATACAACCCATACAGGGGTGGTCAAAATGTCACCATTACTGGATCATGCTGCTAGCCTTGCCAAGTGGTGTTGCTCCTGAAACTATGAAGGCACCATCGGATGGGAGGTCAATCAACCAACGCTCAAGAAACCCTTAGCAACCTCTGGAGGAAACCTAGAGCTCCACAGAACCTTAGTTAAGAATGGCTGAATTACGGAGTACTTTGTGGGTACAAGTACTGCAGGATATGTGTGGAGTATGCTGCAAGTAGGCTCCAACTCTATTTAACCATGGCCCCCAGACACATCCAATTTTCAGCTCAATGTAGCCACGCATACTTTGCCCACCACTCCACATTTCATTTGCGCCATGTCCCACTTTCTCAAGTTCTTAAGTTGGCAGATATGGAGAATGTTTTTTTTCAATCAATGGGCAGTTCTTGTAGCCATAGCATTAGCCATGGCTTTAACAAAGGAAGTGTATACCCCAAGATGGACACCTCCCAGAGCTGCACACAACATCCCAGAAATAGATTGCATGCTTCCCTGCCAACTTGCCAACACAGGTGGCTTCTGTTTATTTGCAGGGCAGCTCTGTGCTGATCAACAGCCCCCCGTCCAGCTGTCAGATGGGACTCCTTCCTGCAACTTCCTGCAAGCTTGTTCTACCACAGGCAGGCATCATCAGTACGTTCAGCTCATATATGACGCCATGATAACTGCTGTTCGCCACTCCCGATGGTTCCTGGAAAGAAGGTAAAGCTGCAAGGCTCCTTCTAGCCAATGCCAGTTGCTGTTGTGCACTAATAGGGAAGCTGGAGCCTGGGACTGTCAGGCGCCATGTTGACTAACTGTCGGAGAAGACAGGAAGTGGCGGCTGTGACCTGGTGCCTGGTGGGTAAGAACCACGGGTCTGCAAGGCAGGTAGTAAAGGGAAATCTCCCCATTGGGACACAGGAAGTAAAAAAAATAACATAGTAGAGATCCCCTACCCTTCCCAAAACTAAAAAGAAAAGCCTACACATATATTTTAAGTCTTGTTGTACAGAGGGAATTTCAGATCTATCGGAAATTATAGCATTTGTATTAAAAATAGTTAATTCCTCATTAAATATCAGTTATTTCCTCTTACCCAGAGCTGGACTTGCCATCTTGACATCTGGCAGAAGACGTGAAGCCTCTGATGTGGTTAGTCAGAAATCTCTTGATGGCACCATAGTTCCTTGTGCACGCGTTGACACGAAGACCACCGAGCAGCATCCGTGCAAGTTTTGGAGTGTGACAAGCCATGTTCTGAATGCAGAAGCCCTAGCTGCAAGTTAGCGCTGTGTTTGCAATGAAATGGAATCCGAGATATAAGGAGAGCCAATCCTATGAACACAAAGCCATCCCACTGCAGGAGCAACCTCCCACACCCATCAATATCTATGCAAATCATGCTGAGCTGACACAGGCAGACCCTGAACTTTAGCTGTAACTGCATTTTTTATATGTGAAAGGCATACAAATGAGACTTTTGCTCGGCGTTGCTTGCTGTTTATTGCTGCTATTGCTTTTAGGAGTCCATACATATTAAAAGTTTAAACAAAATACTTTAAAGTGACTGTTTGAAAAAAACTGCTTTAAAAAAAAAATTAACCTAGAAAAGAAGACCCTGGATACTCAACTCTCCAGTAGGATGTGAATACAAACTTTGCTGTCTTCAAGAACTATGGATATTCCATTGTAAAACCATGGCCATGGAACCATGGGAATTTGTGCCCATTTGTGAGGTCAAGTACTGATGTTGGATGAGAAGACCAGGCTCACAATCGGTGTTTAAATGAATCCCAAAGGTGTTCAATAGAGGTGAGGTCAGGGCTCTGTGTAGGACACTTGAGTTCTTCCACACCAAACTGATCAAACCATATCTTTATGGAGCTGGCTTTGTGCACCTAAACTCAATAATTCCTTTTGAACACCTATGTTTTATCAGGTGTTCCTACGTTCTATGGGGTTGAGGTCAGGGCTCTTTGTGGAAGAACTTGAGTGGCCTTCACAAACTGGTCAAACCATGTCTTTAAGGAGCTTGTACACAGTGGATAGTCATGTTCAATAGGGTTGAGGTCCGGGCTCTGTGCAGGACATTCGAGTTCCTCCACACTAGATTGGTCACACCATGTCTTTATGGAGCTGGCTTTGCACACAGGGGACAGTCGTGGTGGAAAAGAAAAGGCTGGAAGAGCACAATTGTCTACAATGTCTTTGTATGTTGTAGTATTAACAGAACCTTTTACTAGAAACAACCAAACTCAATCATTTGGAGGGGAGACCACATACCTGGTCTGACCAAGTTGGTCAGACCATGTGTTTCTGGAGCTGGCTTTGTACTCAGGCGACAGTCATGGTGGAACAGAAAAGGGTCTTCTCCCAACTGTTACCACTAGGGATGTCCCGATACCGGTACTAGCATCGGTATCGGGATCGATACAGGGCATTTTGACAAGTACTTGTACTTGTCAAAATGCCCCGATACATAGCGTCGAAGCTTGCGCTATTATTTTATTTTTTTTCCTTACCTTCCGGCTGCTTTTTGGGAGAGCAGCGGCGACTCAGCGCTGGTCCGGTGGGAGGAGCTCCAAGTGGGGTCCTAATTTAGCTGGCAGGTGAACGGGCAGTTGTCAGCACAAGTTCCACACCCCTGAATGTGGAGACAGGAGGTGGGGGAACAGCGGGCAGCACAGGTGCCAGAAGATGCAGGACACTGGGCCTGGAAAGAGCCTTGAGGCCCGTCTTCAGTGAAGCAGGAAGCAGGTGTTGATGCGGCTGGAGCAGAGCGGAGTCGGGCAAGCCAGGGTCAGCAACAATCTGGCGGCAAGGTACAAAAGGAGAAGGCAAAGGAGAATCCAGGGACAAGCAGAAGTCGGAGGCAGGCAGCAGTCAGGCAAGGTCAAGGAATCCGGGTCGACAATAATACAGCAACAGGCTAGGTACAGGAACACACACACTAAACCTGAAAGACCACTCGGCAATGATTCTGGGAGTTGGGCCAGCTTAAATAGGATCATCCCCAGACAGAGCGAGTCATTTCCTGTGCGCCATGTGAGCGCAACTTCGCGCATCCGGCTGCAGTTTGCGCATGCGCAATAGCTGCCACTTGCGCATGCGCAATAGCCGCCGTTTACCGCAAATGCGGTGAACAGGCCTATGCGCATGCGCAGTCGTATCTCTGCTGCCAGGCATGGTCTTACAATAGTACATAATATGTAGTTGTACTATGGATCCTTTAACCCATTCATGTTAGCAGGGGATAATTGTAATTATATTGCTGCAGACTGCCGTTTACTGGATGTGTGCGCTGTATATGTACTATGGATCATGATTTAACCTAATCATGTTAGCAGGGCAGAATTGCGAGCGCCTCCCACAAGCTGACCACCGAGACGCGATGCAGCGATCTTGCCCAGCGATGACTACAAGAGGCAGCGCGTGAGGCAACAGGGATCGGAGTGAAACTGTGAGTAAGGGAAGCTGGGACGGGGCTGGCTGTAAATCTATTGCTATAGTGTACTGGGCGTGTGTAATGTATATGTAGTACATATATACAGCACACACCTCCTCTACACCCCAGCAACAGATTTACAATTCTCCGCTGTTAACATGAATAGGTTAAATCATGATCCATAGTACATAACATGTAGTTGTACTATGGATCATTTAAAGTCACCTGTCCCTTTAAAAAAAGTATCGATAATTGGTATCGGCAAGTACATGAGGGGAAGTACTTGGTCTTGAAAAAGTGATATCGGGGCATCCCTAGTTACCACAATTATGGAAAATATCTTTGTATGTTGTAATATTAACGGTACCATTCACTTGGAACATCTCAACTCAACCATATGGAATGGTTTCTACAACATGTGCCGGCTTGATGTTTAGGTGTCCACAATTGTTTGGCAAAGTGTTGTAGCTCAGTGAACCGAGCCTTGTGTTTTCATTAGGACACCATAGTAGGTGAAAATCCAACTTTAGTGTTATTTGCATTGTTGTGGGGTTGTGTACTGTTCTAATAAGGGGGGGGGCTATTTGTCAAGATTCACACAACTTTAAAAAAAAAAGAAAAGGAAAATGAATTTTAATTAATGTCAATCATTGCGCAACCTGTCGGCACTATAAAAATCCTGTATAATAATAATAATACAATTTCAAAAATGTATGGATCTTAAGTGAAAGTTGTGTGAATCTTGGGAGAAAGCATAGTTAACAAGACCTCTAGGGCTAATCAGAGGCTATTTTTTTGGGCACAAGCACTGGTCCAGGATACATTAAAGAAGCTTTTGTGATCCTCTACAGACATTTCAAACCCACTATGACACATCAAATTTCCAAAATGCTGTGTCCCTCCATTAACTACAGTGCATTTCACCAATATCTTCCAATTTTTGCCAAAATGTTGGGAAAATGAAGACTCTCATTATTGGCCACCTCAATACAATGAGGAGGCTCAGGTTTTAGTTAACGACGCCCCTTTAATCTGCTCCTACTGTCAGTGCAGTATGGCTACACCCTTGCAATGTCCAGGAGGACCTCAGGTCTTTCAAAATCCTATTGGAATGATGCTCTAGAGCCGGGGTGTCAAACTTCATGTAATCGCGGGCCGCATCAGCATTATGGTTGCCCTCAAAGGGCCGGTTGTGTCTGTAGGACTATATAAATGTATCTACTCTTTATCATATTAAATAATTGTCTCTGCATTCCATTATTTCTGGTCTTAGTAATAACTTAAAGGAAAACTATGGGGTTAGGTCTTTCCCCCATAGTTCTCCTAAGGGTAATGGGAGGACACAAACTAGCTTCCTCCCGTCACACAAAGCTCAGTATACTGAGATGCCCTGGATCCACCCAGCTGCGTGAGTGACAGCTGGCTCTCCCTATCTAGAGGCAGAGCCAGCTGTACCCTCCCCCGTCCGTTCCACCAATCAGCGCTGGAGGATCGGACAGGGGAGGGGGGGGGGAATCCCTGCAGGGAGGACAAAAAACTAGCGTCCTCCTGTGACCCAAAGCTCAGTATATTGCAAGCTAAAGCTCGCGGTATACATTACTGTCGAGATCTTCCCAGCTGCGTGATTGACAGCTTGCACTACCTTTCTAGAGGCAGAGCCAGCTGTACCTGCCCCCTCCCCCGTCCGTTCCGCCAGTCAGCGCTGGAGGATCGGATCGGGGAGGGGAAGAATCCCTGCAGGGAGCCTTGACTGACAGTCACGGCTCTCTGCAGGGATAGATCGAGAAGTGAGCGAGCGATGGTATGTGTTCTCTCACTTCCCGATCTACTGAGCCGACCTGTGACAGTTTCATTGTCACAGGTCGGCTCAGATTATGAAAATCACCCACCTCATAGTTCGCCTTTAATAACTGGCTCTGAAAGTAGAAGTTTAGGAAAAATATTGGCAATTAGTGTAATAGGCTCACAGGTGGCGGTGCGAGTTCTATGGTGGCCTGTGCAGATTCTCAGGTGGCTGTGCAGGTTCTATGATGGGCTGTGTGGACTCTCAGGTGGCTGTACGGACTTCTCAGGTGGCTGTGCAGGTTCTATGGTGGGCTGTATGTGCGGACTCTCAAGGGGCTGTGCAGGGTTCATGGTGGGTTGTGTGAACTCTCAGGTGGCTATGTCGGGTTTATGGCGGGCTATGCAGATGCTCGGGTGGCCGTGCAAAATCTTAGGAGGGCTGTGCGGTCTCACCAGGGGTCCCGTTCGGTCTCAGTGAGTGTGAGTGGCGTGGATCCACAGGAACATTTGCTGCCGGCACCGCGATTCACAAGAAGGCTGCTGGGACCTTGTTGGGGACCTGAGGCCGCCTTCCTGTGAAACCCGGTGCCTGTTTACAGCGCCGCCTTGGTTTCAAAATGTTAAGCTGCAGGAGAGGTGCGAGTGTCACATGAAATGACCTGGCGGGCTGGATTTAGCCCACGGGCCTTGTGTTTGCAACATGTGCTCTAGAATTTATTCTGTTATGCATGAAAAATATAAATACAGATAACATATATATATATTTATTTTTCCTTAGTAAAAAA